CACTATTAGGAACCAGGGTATTACTCCATTTTTAAAAGTTCATTCTGAATTTAATGGAAGATTATAAAATAATATTAGATAACATCAAAGTATGTTTCTGATAGTCTACAAATTTGGCAGAAACAATGGGGGACTGATGATTACAGAATTTATGTCCATATTTCTGCTCTAAAAACCATAAATAACTGTGTAATTACAGTGCTATCAGGAAACAGAAATGGGAGGGACAGTTTATTTTTTCTTTAGGCAATCAGTTGCATCATAGATTGGGTAAAGTAAATCATTGTAGGGTGAGGAACCTCCCAGCTCCATAAACAAGGTAAGCATGTCCATCAGAGGGAAAAGGTACAGGTGGGCAAAGGTACAGTATTTGGGATAAGGTACAGAGGAAATAGTAGCTGTCTTCCTCAGGAGTACATTCAGGAGAGGTGGGGGTCTTAAAATGGAAATAAAGAACCAAACAAGGACTTACTCTCAGTTATTTTGCAGTGACATAACTGGAGCCACATCAGGACAGTTGACAGAAGTCCTCTGGGTGGAGAAAAACTGGAGAAATGGTCTCTGAAACAGAGGCAACTGACCACTAGGTCAATCAGTGGATTGGTTCTGTCTAGAACTAGGAAGACAGGCAAAGCCAAAGACTCCAGCCAGCCAGCTTTCCCTCTTTCCTCCTATTGAATCATTGCACTTGCCAGGGGAAGCAAAGGAGAAAAGAGATAAGATGGGAAAATGTAATGAGAGTCTAACCTCTTGTTTTGCCATAAAAGGGTGGGTTGTGACCCTTCATGCTCTAATCTTTTAGAAGACTTCCCTTGACCTCAGTTGGCATTTTCTTAGTGCACCTTTCAGAAGAAAGACTGACCATGATGCACAGTTTAAAATGGCTGGCATTGCACTAGGATGTACATCAGCTATGGAAAACTGTTAATTTACAGATGCTAGCAAAGTAGAACTGCTGTGAACTGCGTAGACAACAATTAGCATCTCCCCGAAAAGTCAGCAGGCATTAAGAAATCATTGGGTAAAGTGCAGTGGCTAAGATTTTGGTTAGGAGTTGAAAGATCCCTAATTTTCAGTCAGGCTTTTAAATTGTATTATGTGTGCGTACATCTTACATCAGTATTCATCTCACCAGACTTTAGCTGCCTGAAAGTAAGGTGTCTATTTTAAGTTAGTTACTTGACTAACTTTGTGCGTGTCTCTATAGTAAAGACGAGAGATAAAGACCTCACCTTCCAAAAAGCACCACTAGAGAGAGAGCTTCAATAAGTAGGTCAGAGATGACAACAAAAACACATGGAACAAATAATAGTTCTTTGGTCACAGCTGTAGGCTGAGAGACATATAAACTAAAGTACCAAGGCTGTATTGTTGACCCCATTCTATCCATTAACCAAAGATTCTCTCAGCAAACACACAAATTATCCTCAATATTAGCAGCTTCTCAGAATAGCAAATAGTCATCAATAAAGACATGGTACATCGGTTAATTGGTTACTACAGATCAGAATGTTTCCATCACAGAGGCAAACGGAAGGTGGAAAGACTAGTACTTCACACCAGAAGAAATGCAGGTGGGTTTTTGTTCACTTACTTTCTAAGGAATACACATCCTTTATTTCATTACTGGGAAACAGAGTTTGTATGTGTTCCCAAGCTAAAAGCTGACTGCACAGACTATTTTTCTCACAGGTCAGATGTGAGGAAACAGAGCCATTTCACTTCCTTCAAAAACTCTATATAAAGAGAAGAGGAAAATGGGACCAGACCTATTGTTCTTACCGTTTCCTGCCTCCTTCTTCACTATGCCTCTTTCGAAAAAGCAAGGGTCTGCCACTGTGAGTGCATCATCTCTGTTTAGTGTATTTAGATACCCAATAATATATAAATGGCTCTTGTAGTACACAGACAATATCAGAAAAGCCTTGATTTGATAAGAAAGTCGTATGCCAAAGCTGCTGCCTCTGTTTTTCTTTCATACAAAATATAGTAGGTCTTCATTCAAAGTATTCTCTCTCTTCCAAGAGAACAAGATCAAACTATACAAGTAGATAACCTGCCCACAAAATCCCAATAAATTGTTTTTGGGGTTTCTTCTTCTCAGCTGTTTTTCCTAAGTCTAAAGACTTTTGAATGGCTGGAGTATGATGATCAAATATAACCAAGAGAAAGGTCTGAGTTATGAAGCACATTTGGCTCACTCTTGGCTGCCCTAGTCCCAGGCTTTTTGCCAGGGCTGCAACAATTCTCACTGGAATGAAATGGGAGGTGGTACAAGAAGTTTCTGCTCTTGGTTGGTGACGAGCTGTAACTGGAGATTTGGGGAAGCACGCATGAGACCACTGTACGTTCCCAGCAGGCCCTGCTTTGTGGTCCTTTGCTTGGATTCCTGCAACAAAACAGCATTGCCTTTTATCACAACCATGGTTTGATCTATTGGGGAGTACAGAAGAGATTCTGGGACAATTCGGGGCACAACTTTTCAATCACAGGGGCGACTATATGTTCTAATCCCTTCCTAACTAAATTATTTTCTCTATAAGACAGCCAACTGCTCTCAGCCTGAAAGAAAAGGCGCCTAGGATGAGTAATGATGCAAGGAGCTGCTTTTCTTCACCTTTTATTTCACCGTCCAGTAAGAGAGAGATATGCACTTTGTGCACTCAGAGCATTCTCTCCCCTCTGTCACAGACATGAGTCCTGGCAAAGGACTTTGACGCACAAGGGCACACACAAGTTAAGAGTTACATGAAAAAAAATGTGTGGGTAGCAAAAGACGCAATTGTCTCTCTGTATTTATGCACGTATATTCATTCCATCCTGCCAGTTTCTAATACGCTCATTTTATGCTTCCTTTCAAGAACTGTAAGATCTGAACCTTTTTCCAGAAGGCACAGGGAGAAATAAAGTACTTGGCAATGATTCCACTTAAATTCAGAGAGCCATAGCACTATGTAGGCTTAGCACCCATTCTACCAAAGATAGTCCCTCTAAAATGACTGGAACAGAACATGATGTTTCAAAAATAAATAAATGTCATTTCTTTAGAACATCTGAATGTGTGTTAATTAAGTATATTTCCACTCTGCTCAAATAACAGGTTCAGTTCAAATAGCATTTATTGATTTTACATTACAGAACTGTCATTAGCATTTGCTAACTGAGTCAAGTTTAGCAGGAAGTTGTGATGTTAAGAGCTTTGCTTTGGGAATTATTTATACACCAACAGGAAAACTACATCTTTCTTCTCTGGCATCTTGAGTGTCTTAATGCAAACAGAAGTTTCAGTTCTGTGTATGTTGTATATACCTTACTGTTGAACTCAAAAAAAAGGGGGGCGTTGCGAATAGGAATGGTAGTGCAACGAAAATGCTACCATATTTCAAAATCAGTTTCTGCTCCCAGGTACACTAATGTAAATGCAAAGTTATGCTCCTCAATGTGATGGAATTATTCTGACTTTTACAACAATTATATGTAAGCTGGGGACATGGAGGCGAGGTCAATGACTTCAAGGTAAGTGGGAGTTTAGCTGGGGGGATCAGGGCCAGCTGCGAGCTGGCTGCCCAAGTGTTAGCCACAGCCAGGGCCGACCTCATGCCATGGGAGCTGCCTTCATCTGAGGCTCTGCTGTGGGGCCTGGCCGGACCTCCAGCCCCACTGCATCGCAGCCCTGCCTGTTCCTGGCCATGAGCTGCTGGTCCAGACCTCCTGGCCCTGACTGCTGCCCGGGATGGGTGGCAAAGATGACCACTGTCTGTCTTGTCATCACGCTCGGCTCCTAGCTTCCCTTGCTAATCCCTGACAATAAATGTGGTTAAAGAGATAGAATTGGAAACAGATAATCAAAATAAGTCAAGATGTTTGGAAGAAAAAAAAAGGAAGAAAAAGATCATATAATAGAATCATAGAAGCATAGAATCACTTTGGTTGGAAAAGACCTTTGAGATCATCGAGTCCAACCTTTAACCTAACCCTGCCATCCCACCACTAAACCCTGTCCCTAAGCACCTCATCTGTCCTTCTTTTAAATACCTCCAGGGATGAGGACTCTACCACCTCCCTGGGCAGCCCATTCCAGAGCCTGACAACCCTTTTGGTGAAGAAGTTTTTCCTAATGTCTAGCCTAAACCTGCCCTGGCGCAGCTTCAAACCATTCCCCCTCGTCCTATCATCTGTTACCAGGGAGAAGAGGCTGACAGGGAGATAAGGCAGGCGACAGAAAAAAAACCCATAAAAAATTAGAAAGTGTGAAGAAATGAGAGTCGGTAAAACATATTAAAAGCTATATATACATACAGAGAGACCTTTAATTATTAGACTCCTTCCTACAGCCACCACAGATGGAGCGTACAGCATTCCTAATATCCCTCCTATACCTGACTCAAACATCAGAGAAATGTCATTGTAAGTGTTGTCTTTAACAAAAGAAGCAGATCTGAAAGCACGTTGGGGTGGTTTTGATCTAGAGGACTTCAACAAAAAGAAATAAACTAGATTACTGCTACCTTAAACAAATATAAGACACAGAGGCAGTTTTACATTTTATTTATCTTAACATATCAAGAGCAGTCCACATCACCATGGAGAAAAAGGAAGGGATTAAAATCCTTGGGAAATTTATCTTAATGGAAAACAGCTAAAAGAACTGGCTGAGTCAAATTCTGACCATGAGGCAGAATCACACTGTGAAATAACAAATGGGTGAATCCAGAATAGAGAAGGTACCAAAGCACAAGGAAAAGGGGAGTTGGAGTACAAATCCCAAGACTATCAATATTGTGGAGAATTGTATTGCCAGTGTGAGGAAGCAACATGTAAAAGGAAAGGTTGAATGGGAAAATTAAAATCCTTGCATAACTGATTATAACTGAAAACTCTTAAGGAAAAAAATAGTACAATGGAAACTAAAAGATAAGTGAAATGGAAAAGGAAAGCTACATTTTTATATATAGCTAAAACCAGATAATAGGAAAAGGAAGGAGGGGTGAGTATGTGTGTAATATGGGAGAGATGTGAAATTTTGCTTTCAGCACTTCTTCCCACCTCATTTCCAATTTCTGAGAAATTCAGTGATGTGCCAGAAGGTTCCTGACGTAGCCATTAACTGCCCTCCCAGATGGAGACCATTATTTAGTGGAATAATGAACCATTAGGAAGGGATAACATCCTCTTCCATCAGCAACTTACAGCACACTTCCACTTTCAGGGAGCAAGGGAAAAGAGTAAAAAGTATGAGAACAATGAGAACTGCTCAAGAATCCAGGGAGACGGGAGCCAAGTAAATAAAAGTAGTGAAGGAGGTATAAGACTGTTTTCAGACTAGCAGGGGCTTCGGTAATATAAATTTTAGGGCTTCAAAACAAAGAAAAATATTGAGGGACTGCAAAGGTAACCCAAATCATTAAGGAAGAGTAATCTGAATATAAACTTATCGTACTTCAAGGCAGTTGTTACCAATATATAAATAATTTTATGAAGAATTATGTATGTTAGTGCCAAAAAGTACAAAGAAAAGTTAAACTATCTTGCCCCTCCTGACTCTACAAAATTATAGAGAATATATTTTTAAAAGAGGATGTAGACACTGTCATGAATAATCTGTAAATAAATATAGCAGCAAGACCAGATGGATTTATAGTTAAATGTTGAAAGGCTCTAAAAGGAGTTTTAATTGCTCTAAGAAGAGACTTATTTGATAGCATCATGCAAGCAGGAGACATTCTCTTCTTTTGGAAGAAACCAGGGTAGTTTTAAAATCTGAAGAGAGGTGGGATTTGACCAGCTATTCAGGCTTTCAAGATGCTGAGGTAAATATGAAAAGTCACTCTCCCTTCAATCCATTCTCTGAAGGAGTTCTTCTCCGGAACCTACCAAACACATACAGCTGTGCTGGGGTGAGGGTAGGTGCCCCCCACCTTTTGAGATGCAGAGATGAAATCTCATATAGAAATCTGCCAAAATCATAAAGGAGTAAAGGTTTCTCCTTTCCAGTATCTTTCACTTTGATTGTTTTAAGAGAAAAAGTTTTCCTTTCAAGGCTTTCATTTGACTTTCATTACTCCTTTCAATCAACTGACATATGTGGATGAACGAGAAAATGGGGGAATTTTTTAAATATGTGTCACTTTTAGAAGGGCCATGACAGATACATACACACTGAAAGCTTAAAAGAGAGACCGGGGAAGGCTGAGCAGGCACAACGATGAATGATACGGAAAAGGCATTATTCATTCTCCTCTGAGGAAATTTACAGAGAAATATTATTAAATAGTCCACAGATAGTAGGTGTCTCCAGCCAGGATCCCATACATGTTTCAGTGGTGACACAACACACTAGGGAGGCTGCTGAGAAAGAAGTTATTACTTTCCCTTACGGGATGTGCCTGCACAGAGGTGCAGGAGGGACCAGAATGACCACATTGTAGTGAGTAACAACATTGCTTTAGATCCACCGTTTGCTTGCTGAACGCTCCTTGCAAAGGTGCTCTCCTTGTGAAGAAGGAAAAAATGACACCCACCTTGTCATTAACTGTCTGCTACGTGGCTCTGCGTGGAAAGGATTTTTTCATTCCATCATGGAAAATCTCATAGCCTTAAACGTGGGACGCCCTTTTGATGGAGAAACAAACCCAGCAGGACTGGTAGAACAGAGGGTGGGTTCTTTGAAATATGGATGCCATTTTGTAGGAGGTAAAATCAGCAGCAGGTGAAACCTGACCATATGACAAAACTGATATTTTTCAAAATTGCAAGTATGTAAAGGTCAAGGTTGGAAAGAGGCTGTAAACTGTAACACACAGAACATAGATGCAGAAATTTACAAAAGTATGGGTGCAAACATCTCTAAAGTGGCTATATTCGCATTAAAACGTTGCTCCTATACAAAGGAAATAAGGATGCTTTTAGAAAAAGCAGAACAGGTGCTTCTTTAATTTGTAAGTGTAGCAAGTATTTCTCAAAATATTCTTCTGTCTGGGAATAAAGTACCCTACCTCCAAAGGTGTCTTCTTTTTTGAAAAGATCAGGCAGTGGCAACAAAACAGCTCCAACATCTGAGACAGCATTTTTTTTAAAACATCTCCCATTCATTTCTAGCCTTAATCTGCTTGTCTTTCCACTAAGGAATCAGGATAGAACAAGTTCCCGTAACTCCTGATGAGCTGCAAGTAAAGGAGCATATTGACAGAGATGGTAAAACCTGCTCCACAGCATTATGTATGTGGAAGAATTTAGAAAGTCAGTGACAAATAACCTCAGGGCCATTTTTCTAAACTTGGGGAACCAGGTGCAAGATGGAAGGTGGCCCCAAATACATACTTTATAAGGCTGAAAGTTATTTGAAGGTGTTTTAATAAAAAAAATAAAATCTGAGCATGTAACTTTAGTGCAAATAAGGTAGTACATGAGACCCACTACCTGCAGTAAGAACTCAGAGATTCAGAGGCCCATCAAAAGCAGGTAGGCTTGGCATGGCCTAGGCATGGCACTCGATGACACTTGATGAAGACTAGACCCTGCATATGGGTATGAGTGATGTTTATTTTTAGAAATGAGTCTCAGCATGTGTAACAACTAATTTTTAGAAACGAATAGTAATTTCACAGCTGATAAAAGATACTGAAACCTGAGCAGTGTTTTAACTGGCATTTCCCTTAAATGAATAAAACATATTTATTTTTTTTTAGTAGCAACAGACATACACATTTCTGGTCACATACCAAGTTCTAGAAGTTTCATTGCTTGGGTCTTTTCTAAAAAAAAAAGCATTTTATTGATGTATAATTTGGCTCTGATTGTAAAAGTTGTTATGGGCAGCAAAGTAACCTCACACTTCCTTCCATCTGGGTCATTAGACTTGGCCTTCCCATGACATTGATAATTTTCTCTGATGTCTTAAAAGGATGACTGCTTTGATATCAGTATGTCATCTAATAGTTGCTTCACAGAAAATAAAATACAGTAAAATTAGGCACCATGTGGAGAACAGTTTAACTCTTAGCTATTCAGAGAGCTCGAAATTCTAAGAAGGTACACTAAAAAGAGAGAATAAAAAGTACAATACCTAAAAAGCCAAGAAATGTTCCTCTTCTTGCTCTGTTTACATCATAATTCAAGGCAGTTAAATCAAGTTTTTCATGTACCAAAGGCTGAACCTACTATATCATCAAAAATGTATCACTAATGATACATTTTGGTCAGTATTTTGCCATAAACCCTCTTTGCCTAACTAATATGAGCTCTGGGAAATGCTGTGATACAGATCTTTCCAAACCAAAAGAACTAAAAATAGAAATATGGTTTCATTGCTTGGGTCTGTTGCACTGAAAAGTGCAAAGACGGAGAAGTTAATATATCTTACAAACATGCAGGAATCCTATTTTCCTCACTTCATCCTGTAGCAAACTGCATATTCTCCAGCCAAACAAAATGAATCCTCATTGAGAATCCACTGAAAAGATTCTTTTTTTTTAGTCTCAGTAGATGCTAAGTCTGGCCTGATGGGAAGAGGTAATGTTATGAACAGCAGATCCCTCCTCGGCCTGGAGGCTTGCAAGGGGCTGATCCAGGCGGGGGAGGGAGATCCCATAGCCAAACACAGAAACATTGTACCAGGACTCTCAGAGGCAAAGACGCTTTTCCCACATCTGGATCTTGGGAGTTAGAAATAAATTTGCTACATGTCATGTCATTCTTATTCTTTCTGCTCAGACTTTGAACTAGCAAAGCAAGAAGGTAAGTTTATGGTACAGGAGTTGGGAATGAGGCTCAACAACCTGTTTTCCAAGATAGCTACGTGGATGGTTTCAGAGTGGTGCTATAAATGGTGAAAAGACTGGCATATCCCCCAAAGCATTCAGCTCTCCAGTAAGCAATGGTGTGACATTTTCACATGACACATGATGAAATACACAGTTACTGGACTTACTTCAGAATTGTTTGGCATTTGGACGTGTGGGAATAGTCCATTCTAGGGAACCTCCTCCCTGTATTATTCTTTTGTGTCTTGTACAAACTGTTGCAGCCAAGTGATCCCCATTAATGGCAAAAGAGTGCTCCTACTGCAAAAATACAAATAATGAAATAGCAAGTCAATTAAAATAATAAGATGTTCAGATTGCTTTTAGACATAAACCCCACATTATTTTGACAGTAAAAGTATTTTGGGGTCCTTACACTAACTTGTGTAGAACTTCATAGCTACAGATATATACATATATTAATCTTTCAAACTCCAGCGCCCGGACTAGCATACAATCACTCAACCTGCAAGAAGCAAAGGCATTGAACCCAATCATCTGCTAATAAGTGATTTAAAAGCATCTTCTACAAATGGCTGTGCATAACTAATAGAATTGCAATATGCAATTTAGCTCTGGAGGAAAAGTTACATTCATTTCACTTGCAGAGATACTGGTGTGACAATAGCTCCAATTAAGTGACCTACGATGCTATTGGCCTTATCTAAGTCTATACAATCATAGTAAGTAGATATAATATAAAAATGTTTATTGCTTCAGTATAGCCTGTTTTGAGGAATTTTAACTGAGAAACGTGATCAATCAGTGCGGTTTCATCATTAATAATGTTTGGGGTTGCAAAAGCTTGATAATGCTACATTTCTGGGAAGATCCTTTTGTCTGTTATTTTAACTATAAGCTAACATATCAGTGGTTTTCAGAAACTAGCAGCAAAAGGACATACTGTGTATTTCAAATAGCAAGGAAGATGAATCTCAGCTTAAGTTGAGAACATAACTATCTTAAGAGGCAGAAAGCATGAGGTGCTTAAGGGAAGTAGAGCAGTTGGCAACAGCAAGCTGGAAAGAAACTGGAAGAGTTGTGAAGGAAGGTGAAGTGCCAAAAGAGAAGGATAAATTAAAAATCAGAGGATGCCTGTGAGCATGAAGCACTGGACTGCCACCTCAGCAGGATTTAAATGCGGTAGTCAGAAGGGTCTAGCAGGAGACCACAGCATTCTGCATAGGCCCTTTCCCTGTTAGGGATGTTAGACTTCCTCCAGAAGCCTAAGTTGCTTGCAGGGGACTATTTTAGTGTACCTCAGTGAAAGCATAGATTTACCCGGGGGAACGGCGAATCCAGGAAAACACAGCCAAGAGAGACACGCAGAGCCAGAGCTCTGGCTGAAGAGCTAAGTGAGCTCTCGTCTATTCTTTCTTGCAAGGCTGATGTTCGGAGTTATTATCCAGGCCACTTCTCCTTGTGCGTTACGTGGTGGTGCTGCATGCGGGACTGAGGGTGGGAAAGAGACGGCTTGCTGAGGAAGGCGGCCACCTACAGCAAGGCCTACGCAGCAGAACGGGCAGTTCTTCGCCGGTCACCAGAGAACCTGTACGCGGGGCTGCCCCCGGTGCCCCCGGCCCCCTGGAAGGCAGGCTCG